GGGATGGGGATGCTGGAAATCCGGGATGGGGATGCTGGAAATCTGGGATGGGGATGCTGGAAATCCAGGATGGGGATGCTGCTGTCACCTCTGGGGCTGGGTTTTCCTCACCAGGGCCTTTATTTGCTTTCCAGGCAAATATTTGGCTCCAAACCCTGAAGGGTTCCTGCCCTGACATGTGGGCAGTGCCAGGCCCTCCCTTCCCTCCCCCATTTAGCCCCCCCCCTCCAAAAAACCCCTTGGAATTCCCACCCAAAATCACGCAGAAGTGTGGGGAAGCAAACCCTGCCTAATTCCTCGCAGTTTTCCCCGATATTTTGATTTCCCAGCAGCAGACTGAGCCACAACCAAAGGCATTCCCAGAAGTTTTCCCGAGCCCCAGGTTCACAGGGAAGAGCCAGGACAAACCCCGGTGTTTTGTGTATTTTTGGGAGCTGCTGTTTATTTGTTTTGGGCGCTGATTTGCTAAGGAATTTGCCTTGGTTTTCCCACAGAAACATCCCAGGGTTTTTTTGCCTGTTTCTCCTTTTATCAGCTTGAGGCTCAGCAATTCCCTGTGGGAATGTGCTGCTACCTGCACACTGGCCCTGAAAAAGGTGATTTTCTTCTTCTCCTGCCTTTTGGAAATTCCTTGTCCTTCTGAATCCCATGAAAACCCCACAAGCAGATCGAGCTCCTCACCAAAAAAAAACCCTCAAGGCCAAAAAATTCCAGTCAAACCACACCAGATTGGGGGCAAAAACATCAAAAAACAAAAGCTGTGAAATCCATTTTTCTCCTCACATGCCAGCTCTCAAAGCAGATGGAGGGGTGGGGCTAAAAGGAGAAACAACTCAAACCCAGAAAATTGTCCAAATCCAGCAGAAATAATTCCTCTCCTCTCCTGCTCTCCGAGTTTCTGGAGCAGGGAGTCCCAGCTGGTTCCTTCGAGCTCAGCTTCTTCCTGGTGTTTCCACTCCAGCAGTGCTCGAGGAATACAATAAAAATTAATTATTAAAACAGCAGGATTCAAAAAAAAATCAGCTGCCAGGACGCTGAAATATTTTTAGCTGATTGCTGGAGATTATAAACACAGGGATGGAGTCATGGAGCTCCACTCTGAGGAGCTGTGGGGCCTGGGCCTGGATTTGAGGGATTGAGGCTTCCCAGTGCCCCTCAGCCAAAAATCCAGGGGTTTTTTAGGCAGGTTTTTTGGTAAGAAAGTGGGATGACGTGGATTTTCTCCAGGTCACTTCATCCTGGAACTTTTTGGGGGAATTTTTGAGTGGAAAGAGCTCTGGGATGTGAGGCCTGTGGGGCCTGGCCTTGGCTTTGAGGGATGGAGGCCTCCCAGTGCCCCTCAGCCAAAAGTCCATGGTTTTGGGGATGTTTTTGGTGAGAAAATGAGAATTTTCTTTGGGTCACTTCATCCTGCAATTTTTGGGGGGTTTTACAGTGCAGGAAAATCTGGCAGGTTTGGAATTTATTCCTTAAGAGGTTTCCTGCAGGCCTGAGTAGGCTCTGGGCCACTTTTTTGGGGGAAATGAAGCCTTTTTTGATAAAGATTTTCTCCCTGAGGTGATAAAACCCTGCCTGCTTTGGATCAGCACCTTCCCTCGGTGCTGAGCTGGGAAATTCAGATTTCCAAGGGAGAAATGGAAGTTTTGGGTGGAAACAGAACTGGGAGAAGCCACGGGGCTGCACTGTGGGAATGGCTGGGTTAAGACAGAAAATGTCCAAGGTGCTTTCCCTGCAAGCCCCACAGGATCTGGGATATTTCCAGGCAGATTTACGGGATCTCTGGCGCTCCATCCTCTTCAGGGACAAACTATGCAACACTCAGCAAGACTCATTTATTTCCACATATTAAATAAACGAGAGATGGGGTGGAAAAGGAGTGTGACACCCACAGGGGCAAGCAGCACGGAGCGCTCGGGATTTAGGGAACGAATGATTCGAGAATTTAGGGAAGGACAGGAGCACACAGGGCAGGATGCTGCCCTTGTTCTTCACCGGAGGACGTGGGGACACCTCGTGTGTCACATCCTGGGCTGGCAGGTGCTTCACCTTCACCCTGGGATCAGGAGCTGGGTCACACCAGGAGATTTTTTTAGGGCTATCAAGTGAAACAGAGGGGATATTTTTAGGGCCATCAAGTGAAACAGAGGGGATTTTTTTTAGGGCCATCAAGCCTCGTAAAGCGCCTCTGGGGGCTGATTTATGGAGGGCAGAAACAACATCCCTCCCCCGGTGCCACTTAACTTTTCATTTTCTCTGTGCCCTAATTGCTCGGGACAAGTGGGGAAATCGCCCTGCAGCCCCCCAGGGGAGCCGGGCCACGGGGAAAGGGTGGGATGAGATGATTTTAAAGTTCTTTTCTAATCATTCCATGGTTCCACGGGTGGCTCTGTCACGGGTCACAGCGATGTCCCCAGTGCGGGTCACCCCTGTGCCCAGGGATGGATCCGGGGGGTCCCTGCGGGGCAGAACCAGCCCTGCCTCAGTTTCCCCGTGGGGAAAACCTGGGAGCATCCTTGGGGTGGAACTGGAGGTGACAGGGAGGGAAATGCCGGGGTGTCAGCCCCCTTTGAGCACCTCGGGGCTGCGGGATGGAGGGGACAGGGCTGGGGACAGCTGCCATTCAGAATGGGGGGTGACAGGGAGGGACAAACCCTCCTTTGGGCACCTCGGGGATTCAGGATGGGGCAGGGGACACCCCGAGACAGGGCTGGGGACAGCTGCCACTCAGAGTGGGGGTGACAGGGAGGGACAAACCCTCCTTTGGGCACCTCGGGGGCTCAGGATGGGGCAGGGGACACCCCGGGACAGGGCTGGGGACAGCTGCCACTCAGGGGGTGACAGGGAGGGACAAACCCTCCTTTGGGCACTTCGGGGGTTCAGGATGGAGGGGACAGGGCTGGGGACAGCTGCCACTCAGGGGGTGACAGGGAGGGACAAACCCTCCTTTGGGCATCTCGGGGGCTCAGGATGGAGCGGGGGACACCCCGGGACAGGGCTGGGGACAGCTGCCACTCAGAGTGGGGGTGACAGGGAGGGACAAACCCTCCTTTGGGCACCTCGGGGGCTCAGGATGGAGGGGACAGGGCTGGGGACAGCTGCCACTCAGAGTGGGGGTGACAGGGAGGGACAAACCCTCCTTTGGGCATCTCGGGGGTTCAGGATGGAGCGGGGGACACCCCGGGACAGGGCTGGGGACAGCTGCCACTGCCGGCGAGGGGGTGGCGGGCCCGGCTGGGTCCCTACACCTTTAAAAGTCTCCTCACGTCGCGGCGCTGATTATCCATTAACCGCGGCTCCTTTCCCGGGGCGGCGTTCGCACCGAGCGCTGCCAGCAGGGCGGGCGGCCTCCCTGCCTGCCTGCCTGCCTCCCTCCCTGCTCTCCCCCTTCACCCCGCTCCCTCCTTATCAGAAATTCAGATTGCATGCAAATCTGCGCTCTTTCTTCCCGGGCAGCGAGCGCCGAGCGCTGCTCGCCGCCCTCCCGATCTCCTCCTCCTCCTCCTGGGATTTTCCTCCCTTCTCCCCTCCCCTCGCTCCCTCCCTCCCTCCCTCCCTGCTCTCTTTCTTTCCTCCTTTTCACCTCCTGGAACAAAAGTGGCTCTTTCGGCTGCGCCAGCGCTGCCGTAGGAGCGGGGCCGCTTTGTCTGCCGGGGTGAGCGGCGCCGAGCGGGCACCGGCACCGGCACCGGCACCGGCACCGGCGGCACCGGCATGGGCGCACGGCGGGCGGGCGCCGGCCGGGCACGGCTGCTGCTGGCGCTGGCACTGGCGCTGGCACTGGCACTGGCACTGCCGCCGGCCTGCGCCAGCTGCCCCGAGCGGGAGCTGGAGCGGCGGGAGGAGGAGGCCAACGTGGTGCTCACGGGCACGGTGGAGGAGATCATGAACGTGGACCCGGTGCACCACACCTACTCGTGCAAGGTAAAGCTGGCACCCGCCGCCCCCTCCCCGGGGGGATCGGGGCTTTTTGGGGGTGCGGGGAGGCTCCAGCTGCGGTGTGGCCGGCAGAGCGGGGGGAGGAATCTCCAGAGGTTGCTTTTTATGGGCATTTCCCTCCCGGGCTTTGGCGTGATGCGGAGCTGCCTCCCAACTTCGCTGCCGGGAAGGTGCTGGGAGCCTCCGCTGTTGACTTGAGCAGCATCTCGAGTTCCTGCGGCCCGGGCTATTGTTTAACCACCGACCTGGCCTCGGGCTCTGGGGGGTTTTTTTATCTCCCCCCGAAGCGGGAGAGACGCTGAAGTCCCGAGCAACCTGAAATCCCATCCGCCCGCTTGACAGAAAACGCGCCGGATGCCTTAACCCTTGCCGGGGCAGGAATCCCGCTTGCAAGGACACGCTCTTCCCTCGCCTTTTCCTCCTCTCCGCCTCCCCCTTTTCCTGCTAAAAATCCTGCTTGGTGCCGAGCAGCGCCGGGGGCGACGCTGGTTTTGGTGAAGTTTCTGGCGCATCCCCCCGGCCCCTGCCCGCTCCCAGCGCCCCCCGACCCATCTGCAGCTCGCAGCCCCCCCGGGCCCGTCTGTTCGCAGTGTCTGGCACATCCTGGGTGCTCCGCCGAGCATTAATGAGCCTGTGGGGCACGGATGGATGTGGCCACCTGAGGCCGGCGCGAGGTGGCCACGGGAGGTGGCCCAGTGGCGCTGGTGGCCAGGCAGAGGTGGCAGGGTGAGAAATAAATCGCTTTTCTCCCACTGCGGACTCCCAGCGAGGTGTCTGCCTGGCAGAAAATCATCCTGCAGCAGCAGGGCAGGACTCTGGGCAGGGAAAAGCTGGGGTGGGGGAAAAGCTGGGATGGGGGAAAAGCTGGGATGGGAGAACAGCTGGGATAGGAAAAGCAGCTCTGCCTTTGCAAGGTGCAGTCCAGCCCCAGCTGGAGCAGCCAGCAGTGGGATGGGGCTGCCCGGGGTGGCTTTCCGTGAAGCACAATCTGAATTCCTTACCCTGGGAAGGGAATCGCTTCCCGGCCTTTCCCTGAGCAGTGCCCAGGAGAGGTTTGTGCTGCTTGCTCTGGAGTTTGGGATTTTGCTCCTGCCTGTTCCTGAAAGGGCACAGAAAGGCCTGAGAGATCATTCCAGTTTTGGAGTCGTGTGAAAGTGAAAGCAGGAGAGCTTTCATCCCATCCCATCCCATGGCGGTATGGCAGCGCTGTGACATTCAGGAATTTTCACAGGACAGCGGCTCCCTGTCCCTTTCCCTGCCCATCAGCCCGTCCTGCGTCATTTGTGGTGTCTGCCGGGAAAAACGGCTTTGGGATGGGATTTGGGATGTCCCAAGGACCTGGGAGCAGATAAATCTCCCGTCACTGCAGTGACTTGGGGATATGCGGCTCTGCAGCAGCTCTTGGCTCATTGCCCTCCTCAGCTCTCCCAAAGTCTTGGAATGGGAATCGTGTGCATTTGCCATGCCTGCAGTTTATTTTGTTTTGTTGTGTTCTGTTTTTAACCTAAATTCCAGCAGCAGTTCGGGATTAAACCTGACCCCCGGCTCCTGCTGGCCTCGCACGGCCCCTGGGGGAGCTGGGAAGAAATCCAGGATCTTGTGCTGAGGAAATTCCTGCCCCAAATCCTTCTGTTCCTGCCCTGCTGCTCCCCAGACCCCGCCGTTATCTCCTGCCAGGCTCTGCCTTATCTGCAGAGGAGAGGCGATGTGGGGAGCTCCCACACCCAAAATCCCGAGTTTTGCTGGAGCTGGGTGGTCCGGGAGCAGCGGGCACGTGCGGATCCGAGAATTCCGTGCTCCGGGGCATTGTTCTTCCCAGCTCGGCTCCGAACCCTTCGATAGAGGCAGATAAGCAGCGGGAGAAATGTGAAGTTAATGTTAGATAAACACCCCGAAATAGCTGCCAGCCGTGCCTGTGCTGCCGGGCGAGCTGGGGGAAGGAGGAGCAGGCTGACGGAATTCCCGAAAAGTGGCTGCTGAGCCCTTTTTCCAAGGGGTTTGACATTCCCGAGTGCTTCTTCTGACTTCTGCACAAAGCTGCTGCTGCTGCTGGCATTGTCCCTTCCTGCTCTGGCCCCCTGAAGTGCCTTTTTCTGGGCCGTCCCGGTGTTTGGGAAGGCAGCTGCTGTTTGTAGGAGAAATCCAGGTTCTGCGGGTGTGGGAAAGGCTGTGCATCCTGGTCCGGACAATGGAGCACAGATTTTGGGGCTTTTTTTAGGAATTGCCGAGTACTGGGGAAGGGGCAAGGAAAAGGCACAGAGAGAGAGAGAGAGAGAGAGAAAGGGGGAGAGGATAGGGTTGGAAGCAGAGCTGATCCTGGCTTTTATCTCCCAAAATTTCCTGGTGACCCCTTTCAGCGCTTCCCATCCCGAGTGACAGTTCCTCCAGAGGGGACTTGGCTCCAACTTCTCCGCTGGCTTTACAAAACCAAACGTGGCGCTAACTCCTGGCAGGAATGTTCCTTTACAGGTGGTCCCTTTCCCTATTAGGGCACGCATCTCCCTGGCACGTCGGGAAATCCTTTTATTTCTGGGGTTTTTAGTTTTTCCTCTGCCTATAAAACACACCCGCGCCTGGATAAAGTTGTGGCCGCTCCTCCTGTGCGTCCGCGGAGCTTTCAAACCCCTCTGAAACCCAGCGTTTTCTGCTCTGCTTGGAAAAACAGAGCGCTCCAGGGCAGGGTCCTCCTCCCAACAGGTCCCAGCCCAGATTTTTTTCTCCGTCTCCCTTCCTTTTCTGCCGCCGGTGAGTCAGCCGTGACAAAGTCTTAATTGCGCCGCGCTGATGAATGGGCTGCCCCGCAGGTAATTGCCGGGGCTCGGGCGCCCTGCGCATCCATCCATTCATCAGGGTGGGAGGAGCCCGCTGGACTCTGATGTTCCTGGCAGCCACGCCAATTCACGCCAATTAACGCCAATCCCCATCTGCTGCAGAGCAGAGTTCACAGAATTCAGTTTTCCCACCTTAAAAAAACCCAAAAAACCCAAACCCCGAGCTGTGCAAATGCCCCGCACGAGGAGCCAGCCCCGGGCTGCGCTTTCTGCTGCTGGAAAAGGTGGTTTTTATCCCCACCCCCCGCATTCTTCCTCCTTTGTCTGGCTGGGTTCTCGCCCTGCGCGGCGGCTCACCTGCCCTGGGGCTGGAGGAGGTGGGGCCGGGGAAGGTGCCTGGGCTTGACTGCGGGGATGGAGCGGCCGGGAGGGGAGAGAGCGGCCGGGGAAGGGAGAGAGCGGCCGGGGATGGGAGAGGAGAGCGGCCGGGGAAGGGAGAGAGCGGCCGGGAGGGGAGAGAGCGGCCGGGATGGGAGAGGAGAGCGGCCGGGAGGGGAGAGGAGAGCGGCCGGGAGGGGAGAGGAGAGGAGAGCGGCCGGGGATGGGAGAGGAGAGGGGCCGGGAGGGGGTGAGAGCGGCCGGGCAAGGGAGAGAGCGGCCGGGGAAGGGAGAGAGCGGCCGGGAGGGGAGAGGAGAGCGGCCGGGAATGGGAGAGAGCCGCTCCGGAGGCTGCGGGAGCCGCTCCGATGTTGCGGGAGCCGCTCCGAGGCTGCGGGAGCCGCTCCGGGGGTTGCGGGAGCCGCTCCCGAGGCTCCGGGAGCCGCTCCGAGGTTGCGGGAGCCGCTCCGGGGCTGCGGGAGCCGCTCCGGGGCTGCGGGAGCCGCTCCGGGGGTTGCGGGAGCCGCTCCGGGGCTGCGGGAGCCGCTCCCGGGGCTGCGGGAGCCGCTCCCGAGGCTGCGGGAGCCGCTCCGGGGCTGCGGGAGCCGCTCCGGGGCTGCGGGAGCCGCTCCGGGGCTGCGGGAGCCGCTCCGGGGCTCCGGGAGTCGCTCCGGGGCTCCGGGAGCCGCTCCGGGGCTGCCGGGCTGCGCAGAGCGGGGCTGTGCCCCGCACTCCTGCACACCTTCCCCGGGCTCACCGGGGCTGGCCCGGGCGGTTCCTGTGCCCGGGGGTGCCGCGGTTCTCTGGGGGCAGGGAGGCTCTGCCCGGCTGCTCCAGGGAGTCCTGGAGTGGTTTTGGGGTCGGCAGAGACTCCTACCTCTGTGGAAATCCCACCTGGGATAAAATTCTATTTTTATAAAACTCTATTTTTATAAAATTCTGTTTTTGTAAGAATGTATTTTCGCGATTCTAGTTTCACAAAATTCTAGTCTTACAATTCTAGTTTTCCAATTCCCTTTTCCTGCTGGAATTGATTCCCTTTTCCTGCTGGAATTGATTCCCTTTTCCTGGCTGAATTGATTCCCTTTTCCTGGCTGAATTGATTCCCTTTTCCTGTTTTCCTGCTGGAATTGATTCCCTTTTCCTGCCTGGCTCTGCCCTGTGGCTCCGGTGCCCACCGGGAACTGGCCCCGGCCCCGTCCTGCCCTGCCAGGGACACTCTGGAGGAGTTTGGCTCAGGCTCAGCCTGAACTTTGAATTCTCCTCGATCGGGGCTGGAATTCTGCAGCTCGGGCAGCGAAAAAACCCAAAATAAATCCCCGAGATTGCTCCCGGATCTGGGATTTGCGTTCCCAGCCAGGTTTCAGCCCGGGTTGGACTCTGTGCCCTCGGATCGTGGCCGGAGGTGCCGAGGGAGGAGTTTGGCACGGGGGAAATCTCCGGGTGGAAATCTCCAATCTCCGGGGGGGAATCTCCAATCTCCGGGGGGAAATCTCCAATCTCCGGGGGGAATCTCCGGGGGGAATCTCCAATCTCTGGGGGGAAATCTCCGGGTGGAAATCTCCAATCTCCGGGTGGAAATCTCCAATCTCCGGGTGGAAATCTCCAATCTCCGGGGGGAAATCTCCAATCTCCGGGGGGAATCTCCAATCTC